GATAAAAAATATTTTATATAATTGTTAACAGTAATAAGCAATTGAATAATAATTATTACATTAATTTTTTATTCTTGTTTTAAAATAAAGTATACGCATATATACAAAAATTGTTTCATCATTATTCTCTAACATCTCTCATCGTCACCTGTCTTAAATCTGGCTCCGCTAGTAATCCATCGAACTAGCGGGTTTTAAATTATAAATTGAAATAGTTAAAATAAAAAAAAGCTCTTTTCAATAATTTAAAGAAATAGGCCTTCAATGGAATTAGCTAAAAAATTTTAGTCAACTTGATAGAAAGTTTCAATAAACGATATGTCTAGAAACAAATATTCTTTTAATAACTTTAAAATAAGGCTGTCGCCATTTGATTCCTAATAAGTTGGAGTTATTTCTAGACTATTTATAGACTTTTACATGAAGAAAAATATTGATTTCTTTAAGTTTTGCGCACTGAAACCTCTCATCGGGACCACCTTTATTCTAAATTTATTGAAAAATGTACTATTTACTAAATTTATTTGTCGGCGCCACTGAAATCCATTTTTTTTGCAGCATATTAGCGCCAGTTCTTAGTTTTATTGGTAAGAACGTTATTGAATTACAAATCACTTCATCGTCATTGGCACATTGAATTACAGCATTACATTGAATTACAACAAATCATCATTTCATCGTCAACTACATCTTCATTTTCAACAAATAGACAGGGCCTGATTATAGCCTAGGCCCAATAGGCATGGGCCTAGGTCCCACAATTTTTAAAGGGCCTCAAAAATTAGTAAAGGTTGGCTAGCTTTGTGTTGGTTTAAGTACTAATTAAAAAATAATTATAGCTTACAATAAAAAAATAATTCAGGTAATCAGTGACTTTTAGCAAAAATCGTTGATTTCAATTGTTTGTGGTTACCTAACCATTTTTATTTTGATATATCATTGTTTTGTTTTATATTTTGCTTTAATTTATAGATACATAAACTTTTTCTTAAAAAAATAATCTTCAAAATTCTGCTTTCTGATTTTTTAAAGATAAATTCTGCTTTCAAAATTTCTTAGAATGTCTCTCTTGAATCATGCAGTTCAATAGATAATTTTTTTATTTTTAGGACTACTCTTCAGTAATTTAATTTCAAAAATGTCTTGTAAGGGGCCTAGAAAATTTAGTGGGCCTTGGGACCGAATTGTCTTGATCGGTCCCTGCAAATAGAGCTTTATGTATAGGTAAAAATATGGTTTAAAATGCTATTGTTATTTTTTTAATAGTGATTTGATTTATAAAAGAATAATTAGCATTTCTTTTACTCATAGAAAGAGCCTGTGTGTCTAGGAAATTTCTGTGGTGAGAAGAATATTGATGACAGTAAAAGTGTTAATACAGTTTTTTATATAATAGAGAACATTTAATACCTTCTTATTGTATCAAAACAATTAAAATGCAACTGTTTATTTAACTTACGTTTCATCTGTATGATATAGCAGCGAATGGAGAAAATACAATAATAATGGTCACATGCATACTATGATTTGAGTGAGAGTCGTCAACTATCTTCAACGTTATCTATACATTATTTAAAAGTATTAAGATAAAAAAAGACACATACTAAGGGTTTTAATAAATTTTTTTAATAATTAATTCAACTTTTTTTATGCTGTTACGTTACTGTGTCCTTATACTTTCTTTGTGATTTCTATAGAAGAAGCGATTAACGTTTACTAAACAATCAGCGTCTTTAAAGAATAGTTCGAAACTTTCTGTTAATAACCAACAACTTCCCCGAATAATTTACTCTAGATTCTAACAATCATTTCAATTAAAAAAAAACTCATTAATTTCCAAAGATATTTTAGTAAAATTAATTGTTTAAAAGTAATAGCAGGGTTTCATAATTGTCTATACTACTCGCTTAAAACTAAAACGTCTACCATTTAGCTATCATTTAGAAAAAAATAATAAACAAATTTAAGCCATGCTCAAAATACACAAAGTAAATTATTGCTTTAAATATTAAAAAGAAAGAAAAAAGAGAGTTTTGTTTGTTGTTAATTTACGTCGCACTAGAGTTGCATAATGGGCTATTGGCGGCGGTCTGGGAAACATCCCGGAGGATGATCCGAAGACACATCACAATTTTGATCCTCTGCGGAGGGGATGGCACCCCCGCTTCGGTAGCCCGACGACCTACGCGCGAAGTCGAGGTGCTTTACGGTAGCACAGTTTAACGAGGACCCATACCGCACACCCTCGGTCCCTACGCAGACTGATCCAAGTGATCACCCACCCGCACACTGACCGCAGCTAGTGATGCTTGACTTCGGTGATCTGCTGGGAACCGTGTCTTAACGATCAGTCCACTGCGGGGCAAAAAAAAAGAGAGAGATTTGTTCAAACCTTACTTCTTCAATTAGTATTTTATTTCTCATTACTATTAAAACAATATTTACAAAATGCATAAATTAAAATTTTAATTTATCTTGGCAATAAGGGAATTCGATTTCCGAAATGGGATTAAGGATATACACAGGGTGGTTCGTGAGGATTACTCTTAATATGTTTTTTGAGATGAAATGAAAAAAAAAAAAAATGAAAAAGCTTACACATTGGGCGTTGCAATTTAATATTTAGCAAAGGGAAAAAAATCAAAATCACTATGAAATTGGACAAATCACAGTACAAAAAGGAAGGTAGTGGAAATATACAAGACAAATTTGATCTAGGAAAAAAACAAACAGGACTTGAATAAACAATTATTAAAAACACCTCCAATTTTCATCATTCAATTAAACTTGTTTTAATGTTTATTACATCTGCCTTTTTTAACTGTAGTTTGCCAGAATTTAATTATTGTATTTGTTTTTTCTATACCTAAATACTAATATTAATGTGCATATTTTTTGTTCTCATTTTTGAAAAGTATTATGAAAATACATATTTAGAGCGGTCTTTGCAAAACACACTGTATATTATACATTAAGTATTATTTAAGTATTATTTTTACTAAATAATTGAAGACTTTGTATATTCTTAAATATGATTTTATTTTTTAAGCTTCATTAAATAATTTTAAAATTAAAATGAATTTTAAAATTACAGAGCCGAGATCATTCATTTGATATATTATACTCTCAACTACAGTGTGTAACTGTTTTTTCCTCTTAGCATTTTCTCTGCAATTTCGCGTTTCCCGCTTTTGTTTTATTTACTTTAATGATGTAATTTGTATGCGCGCGCCTACTTTGATCTAAGTACTAGATCGTGTCAACACGCCTTAAATGTTTTTTTTTTCAATGGCAGGCACTGAATTTGAATCTTTGCCTATACTATGCCAGAAGCAACATTGCCCACGCCACACTGCCACAAACCCGTTTATAGGGTGGGCCACATTCACACACACAACAGAGGACAGCACAGAGAGAGAGAGAGAAACATCCATGCCCAGAGCAGGATTCGAACCCGCAGCCTATGGCTTCGCAGTCAGGCACGCTAACCGCTCGGCCACCAGGCCGGCGCGCCTTAAATGTATTTTCAATCGGTGCTTAGCTATAAAATATATCCTGTTTTATTGTAGGTTGTTTATTTTTTGATGAAAGCTTGCATTTTCTTGCTTCTTTGAAGGCTGTCTATTTTCTATATTTCTTCTTGCAATAATTACAAAATTTAGGGTCCAACGCAGCTCCTCTGTGTTTTGGTATAATTTTTTTTTCTGTCTTGAAAAACCTTGTTCAGATTCAACATTATAAGCATTATCTGAGACATTCAACTTGTGATCTTTATTTCTTTAAGATATCCAGCCAGATTCAGTAATTCCTTCTGCTGTGAATTTATTATCATCATCCAAACGATATTAAACGTGCACTATTCCATCATTTTCTACGGGTAAATTTCTAATCAAATGAAAACGTAGAAACCTATCGAGAATTTCAAATCCAACTTCTTCAATAATATTGTGCTTGTTTCGAACTCGACAACAAAATAATCTAAATGATTCTTTAGCCGGGGTTAAATTTCAAATTATAAAATTCATCCACAATCCTAGCAGTTCTAGAAATAGGCTCAAAATTCGAGTTTAATATTTTCCAAGCTTCTCTTCCAAAGTTGTATTTAAAATTAAAGGTAAACACTAGCGTAACAGTATACGTTTGTTAGTTTTCGACTTTATTTCGTTCTTTTCTGTTTTCTTTGCATCCGAAACTCTAAGGTTAGCATGGCCGGGATAGCCTGGTTGGCATGGCGCTGGACTCGCGTTTGTAAGAACAGGAGTTTGAATCCAGCAGGCTGAAGACTCCCCGTGAAGTAAATGTTGACTATTGCGCGTTAAATCTGTCGAGTCGCTAAGTCCTCCGTGTTCCCATAACACATCAATACCTCTGGGGGTACTGGTTCAGGTCAAAATTACGATCTGTGGATGAATTAATGAATGCATGAATGGGTCCGCCCTATAAACGGGTGTGACGTATGGATGTGGCAAAAGTCTAATTCTTGACCACAGATGGCTCCATTGAAAAAAAAAACAAGAATAATTGTACCCCCTTTGTCGACGACAACAACGACATCTAATGCATCAAATCGAAGTTTTAAAGAAATATTGTTCTCCATGACCTTGTGGTATTCTCTTCTGTCGAACTAAAGTATTTCTGTTTGATAATATAGCAGAGCATTTCAGCGTATAAAGACAAACTTTTTTGTTTTTTGAAATTCCAATTACTTAAAGTAAAAACAAACGTATTTCACTCTACTCGGCATTATAATATAAAACCTAGCAATTATCATATAAAACCTATTGGAAAAGAATACAACATTTCTAGCTTGACACTCTTCTAAGCTAGTTCGTTACAACCGAAATTTTCCAGTTTGTCAAGGAGAGCTAGCTTTGCATGACTTCATACTTAGATCTGCACTAAATCTCAGAGATATAGCTCAGAAGCTAGCTCAGGTGACCGAAAATTCGAATTAACGAAATGTTAATTTTGTTAGTTCGAATGTGTAGTTTTGTATTTTAGTTTCAAATGTTTCCCTCTTCTTTCTATTATTCTCTTTCTTTTTGCGAAAGTTTGAAATTTTACTTTTTTATTATATTTTTTTTTCTTCTCTCCAGCTGTCTGATTTACGTGATAAAGTAGGAAGAGCCGAAAGAAAAGCTCAAGATGCTGAAGCAAAGGTCAGTTAATTACATTAACGAATTTTTTTTTGAAATAATTGCTTTCGTTTTCAACTAAAATAATCTTTACAGTTCGTAACAAATAAATCTTGAATTTTTTTGTACTTCATTATATCCGTTTCTAAAATTTATATTTTATTGGTTTGTAGTTTTTATTTTACTTTTAAATTAACCGTTGGATATTTTAATGTTATTCCTTAAAATATTAGAACAAAAGATACGTTTAGTAGTGTATCTATAGATGTTGGCCGGGTAGGTTTATAAATGGGTATTTTTCCCTGCCTTCAGGCTTCCCCCCCCCTCTTCTTTTGTTCCCAAATTCAGGCTTTTTTTTTCTCCTTTTAAAGCATGCAACCATGTTTTGTCTTGCTTTTAGTTCTGGAAATAATATCACATTAAAGATGTGATATTATTTCTCTTTCTTTTCTTACTTTTCAAAAATGAACATTAAGACTTAAAATATATCAGTTAAAAAATAAAAATAAAAATAAATAGACCCAGTAGAGGAGCTGCATTGTCTCATGAAAAAGTATCGTAAAAAGGTTTGCATTGTGCAATGTCGCAAAGTAGACTTTATGTTTAAAGTGATTTATGTGAAGGTTGAGCGCTTTCCAAGAAATAAAAATCATTTTTTTCCCTTGACAATGGTGTAAACTGGATGAAATAGAATAATTAAATAGGCACAGAGACTTAATTTAAAATTTCTTAAATTTGTTTATTTATATTAATTCTATAAATTTAATATAAGTGATATAACTAAAAGTGAAAATTTCGCATCTAAATTAACAAAAAAAAAAGAAGAAAAAAAAAACTATTTTATATAAAATAAATGAGTTTTTTTAAAAAGTAAGTTTAAAATATTTGATATTTTGCTTACATATTATTCACATGCAGCAAAAGTTTTGTGCAATAAATTTTCAAAAATAAATTACTTAAAATTTGATGAAAAAAAATTGCATTTTTAAAATATATTTCTTGCAAAATTTCGTAGTTTAGAAATTAGTTTTGAAACCACAAATATTTGGAATTATGAATCGAAATGCGAACTTCAGGCAGATTAAACCATAGCCAGTCTCAAATAAAAACTAAAAATACAATGATTACAATAATTTACATGTTCCAGTTGAATGAATTTTTCTTCTAATAACTAAATAGTAATAACTAATTAACTATTAACAATGTAAGCAAAACTTAATTATACCTTAAATATATATAATTTTGTGAAACTCAAAAGAAAAACATGATCATTGAATTTTTTTTCCTGGGTATTTGAATACCTAGGAATTCATAAATACTCAGGTATTTATAAATTTTGGGTATTAACTGTGGTAAATACCCAGTATATTTGCCCCAAGCTAAAAAAACCTGGGTATTTTATATTTATCTATAAAATATTATTACTTTCTTAATCATAATTTTCATTGAATTATAGTTAGCCCTTAATTGCTACCCACCCAATTGTATTGTATACTCAGGTCATTATGACTCATGGATTAAGGGTTAAAACCTTATTAAAGATTAAAACCTTTACTTTGTTTCTGATTATTTTTTTTTATTTCAACAATTTATAACAATTTAAAAAGGAAAAAAAAACCTAAATAACAAACTTTGTTATTCATTCAATTTTTCTAAACTTATTATGGCTAGTTTTACAAATCCCGGTTGCCAAGGTGCCCAAAAAATTCTAGCTAATTTCCTTTATTGTTTCAAAGTTTAACATGAAAGCAAAAAAAGAAAAAGAAAAAAAACTGTTGCGCTATTTTCCATTCCATAACATGCTTAAATCCTTCAAATCGCCTGTGGCTGATAAAAATTTTGTATACCTCTGGGTATGGTAATTGTTTTTACTAAAACTTTTTAGCTGCCAAACTTCATCATATTTGACGCAGTAGTCTTGTAAGTAACTAGGTTTTGTGTTATTTTGGTTATTGCATTGGAAGAAATAAAAATGTTTAAAATAATTTACGAAAATATGACGAAATTTTCACTTTGGAATTTTCAGTTTAAGGTCTGTGACAAAACAATTTCTTCAAAATAATGTTTCATCAAAGAATGAGCCGTTTAATATGTAATTTTAACAGGGGAGGTTTGGATAGCCTGATTGACAGGACGTTGGGTTCGTCTTCGTGAGAGCGTGAGTTCAATCCCGCCGGCCGAAGAATCCCAGTGTATTATATGGTGACGTTAAATTTCTCTGGGTCACAAAGTCCTCCAAGTTCCCATAACAAATCAATAGATCTGGCGGTACTGAATTGGAGATAGATAGTTCTCTGGTTCAGGTCAAAATTGCTATCTGTGGATGAATGCATGGAGTATGAATGTAAAACGGACTGAGACGTGTGTGTGGCTCAAACTCACCGTATGCCTTAAAAATGCACTTGGATACTCATAGCAAGCTTGTTGATATTGGCAAGTGGCATTAGAAACAACAACACAACAGGTCTACTGTATAGTTGAATAAATTTTTTTATTGAAAACTGTTTGAAATTTAATTTTTTTGCTCTTCAATGTCAATGTTTAAGGTATTAAAAACTGTATGAAACACGTGCTCGGTATGATTTATTTTCTAAGTATAGAGAGCAATATATCTTAAGCTCATCAAAATCCGTCAGGATTTAATTTACAGCGATCTTTTGAACATTTCTGAATTTTCAATATTTAAAAGTTAGAACTCTTAATCTGCATGACTAATCATTAAATTTTAAAACTATTCGATCAAAAACTATCTTGGTGAAATTTGTGCGAGTATCTTTGCAATAAATTTCTCTAGAGAACGTTATACCGTGGTAGGAACTTTCTTCATAAATTACTGTTTCACTTCAATTAGTAATTTAAAGTTTAGAGAAAATTGAGTTTAAGTAAACCTACAGTATACTGTCAATTTTAAAATGCTGAAAAATGTTACTAAAATATCAAAACGTAAACAATTTAATACTTCCATTGATGTAAATACGCGGATGCTCTGCATCACATGCCGAATATTTCAGCAAAATGGAATATTTTATAAGTTTAATAGCTAATTTGATGAAAACAATCAATACTATAAGTTATAAAATGGTGGTATTAAAAGATATTTTTTCACATCTTTAAGTTGCAGAAGTTAAATTTCTTAAAATAAAACTTGGTATACAGAAATGATGTGAAGAATTTACATGCATCATTATATGTAGGTATGTATATATGAGGCAGTTTTGAGTTGTTGAATATCCTAATCCTTTTAAAAATTATTTCAAAAAGAGGAAAAAGATAAGCTGAAAATTTCAGTAGTGTATGTAAAGTTGTTTGGACATAAAACAGCATTCATTCTATGTTTTTTCATTGATAATTTAATGAATCATTAGTATTTTTTCTGTGCATATTATATACTCTTAGTGTGAAAGAAATTTTTTAAATCGGTATAATTATATTTAATTATGCACAGAGGGTTGTAGTGGTTTGTAACATCAAAAATAAAATTATGTATGCTCTTGTTTAAATTTTTACTGTACAGATGAACTTTACTATTACGGATATATTTCTACTCAAATTTGCTTTCGTTTTGAAGTTTACGAGGTTGATTTTACGAGGTTGGTTTAGAACCAAGCATTTTTAACCCGATTTGTTCCATACTTATTTCATTCCATGTTCTAATTCATCCTATTATAAATTGCTCATAATAATTATGCGGCTATATATCTTTTGTGAATGAAACATTTTCTATGAAGTTGTACGTGGTATATATATTCAAAATAATTAATATATTTTGTTTAAAACATTGTTTTTTTCTCATTTTTCTTACTATACAATCATGTCAATGTAGTAATTAACAGTTTTATACTCTTTTTCAAAGTTTTGGGAAAAAATTGGTTCTAATGAAAGCTGGCATTTCTTGATTTTACCCGGGTTTTTTTTTAAGTTGGTTTAAACTAAAAAAATCCAATCGTTTTTTTTTTTTTTTTTTTTTTTTTTTNTTTTTTTTTTTTTTTTTTTTTTTTTTTTTTTTTTTTTTTTGACCTGGCTAAAATTTCTCTATTCTGGTAAAAACACATGATTAATCTCATGTGCAATGATTATGCGTTTTCAAAAAGAATTTATCAAAAATCATTTCAAGAACCGTAGTGACTCTGGGGACAGAGCGTTCACCTCCCAATCAAATGACCCGGGTTCGATCCCAGCGATAGCTGGCTGATTCGAATTCCGCACCCGGCTCGCACCGACCACAGTGCTGACGTGAAATATCCTCAGTGGTTGACGGATCATGGGTTCTAGTCCCCTTGCCATTAGTCCAATCGTAAAAGGTTTTCGTGGTTTTCCTCTCCATGTAACGCAAATGCGGGTTAGTTTCATCAAAAAGTCCTTCGCGAAGGCAATTTTCTCCCAATGCGTGATACAGGAGTTCTCTTGTCTTCTGGATTGGGTTCAATATTATAACTCTACTGAGTTGAACAATAATAGCCGTAAGCCCTAAATTAGGTCGCCAGGCTGTTCAACAACGGTAATAATAAGAACCATTTCAAGTTAACAAAATAAATAAATAAATAAATAAAATAAAATAAAAACTATCGTAGTTTGAAAATTACTCAACAGAAAGTGTTTATACCAATTGAATTACTAATATTTTATAAATGTCTTCAGAACCCTTAAGAGTAGCACAAAAATTAAATTAGTTAAAAATATATATTACACTGTTAATAAAGAATATTTATTGAAATAGTGCGCTTATGCACCTTTGGCCGAAAGTGGGTTAAACAAAAAATTTAGATAAATTATTTCATCTATACTCGCGTTAATACAAAAATAACTTCACGCAACTCGGAGTTTCAATTCTCCTGTTGCACATGATACTGAATGTTCCCATGTGTAAATACATATAAATGCGAAAGTTGGCAATTTTCACTGTCTCTTTTCATATTAAAACAAGTTAACTATTGTGTCAATTTTTTTAAAAATATATATTCGTGTATTCACATATTTATTCATTATGTTGATTCCTCTCCTTACTACATTTATTTCAAATTTTC